TTTGAAGTAGTCTTCTTTGGATTAAATCTGCTTGGTTTTCTATAATCATCTGGTACTTGAATACTGATATCTTTTCTAGGTTTGGTATGTTCTCTGATGTTATCCCTTTGAATAAACTTTCTACCCCTATGTCTTTCTCTACCTCCTGTTTGCCTCCTGTTTACCTCCCTCCCTCTTACTCCATCCCTGCCTCTACCTTTTCTTTAAGGCCAATAACTCTTAGATTTGCCCTTTTGAGGCTATTTTTTTAGATCTCATAGGCATGTTTCATTCTGTTTTACTCTTTTTTCTTTCTCTGACTGTATTTTCAAATAGCCTGTCTTCAAGCCCACTAATACTTTATTCTGCTTGGTCAATTCTGTTGGCAGGAGGCTTTTATGCATTCTTCAGTTTGTCAGTTGAATTTTCAACTCCAGAATTTCTGCTTGATTCTTTTTAATTTTTTTCAGTCTCTTCATTAAATTTGTCTGATAGGATTATTAATTCCTTCTCTGTGGTATCTTGAATTTCTTTGAGTTTCCTCAAAACAACTATTTTAAATTATCTGTCTGAAAGGTTGCACATCTCTGTCTCTCCACAATTGGTCTTTGGTACCTTATTTAGTTTGTTTGGTGAGGTCATGTTTTCCTGGATGGAAATGCTGTGGATGCTTGTGGATGTTCAGCATTGTCTAGGTATTGAAGAGTTAGGTATTTTATTGTAGTCTTCACATTCGGGGCTCCACATCCTTCTTGGGAAGGCATTCCAGGTATTTGAGGGGACTTGGGTGTTGTGATCTAAGTTTTTGGTCACTGCTGCTGTATGTTCATTAGGGGTCACTCCAATCTCAGTAATGTTGTGGCTTTTGCAGTCTTTTAGAGGTACTGGCTAAGTTGTCTTGGATAAGATCAGGAAGAATTCTCTAGATTACCAGGTACAGACTTTTCCTTTACTTCCCCCCAAACCATGGGTGTTTCCCTCTCTGTGTAGAGCTGCCTGGAGCTGGAGCAGGGTTGATAGAAGCCACCCCTGTGGTCACTACCACTGAGACTGTGCTGGGTCTGACCTGAAGCCAGCACAGCACTGAGTCTTCCCCAAGGCCCATTCACTGTAAATCACTGCCTGGGTAACTCCTGTGTTCACTCAAGGCCCTAAGGCTCTACAGTCAGCAGGTGACCAGGCTTGTGTTCTTTCCTTCAGAGTGGCAAGTTTCACCCAGCCTAGGTGCATTCAGAGATGCTGTCTAGGAGCCAGTGCCTGATTTGTTAATCTTAAGAATCTACCTGGTGCTGTATTCTACTGCAGCTGAACTAGCTCCCAACCCTCAAGACAAAGTTCTTCCCACTCTCCCCTTTCCACAATCAGGGAAGTCTACCACCAGCGTGGGCCCATTGCAAATACAGCCTGGCTACCACCAATGTTCACTCAAGGGCCAAGGACTCTTCAGTCAGCTTGTGGTTGAAGCTGCCAAACCTGGAACTCTCCCTTCAGGACAGTAGTCTGCCCTCTGGCCCAGGGCAGGTCCAGAAATTCCATTTGAATGCAAAAGCCTGGATTCAGGGACCTCAAAGGGCCCGCTTGGTGTTCTACCCAACTAGGGCCAAGCTGGTTCTTAATCTGCAAAAGAAAGTCTCCTTTACTCTTTCATTTCTTTTTCTCAAGCAGAAAGAATCTCTTCCCATGGCCACCACACCTCTCTGTATGTGCTAGTTCACACCTGAAGCCAGCTTGTCTCTTGAGTCTCATTCACGACCCACGGCAAGTAGTGCCTGGCTACTGTTGCTGATTATTTAGGACCCAAGGACTCTTTAGTCAGCAAGTCATAAATCCTGCCTGGACTGGGTTCTTCCTTTCAAGTTGGTGGGTTCCCTTTTGGCTCCAGGAGTTTCTAGAAATGTTGTCTGGGAGCTAGAGCCTAGAATGGAGGCCTCAGGACCCTGCTTGGTGCCCTACCCTACTGTTGCTGAGCTGGTATCTATATTGCAAGACAAAGTTTTCTTTACTCTTCTCTCCTCAAGTGGAAGGAAGGAGTCTCTCCTGGAGTTGTGGGCTGCACTGCCTGGGGTCAGGGGAGGTGTGGCACAAGCCTCACTTGACTGCCCTGGCTGTTATCTCACTAAGTCGTGTGCTCCTTAAGTCCACTGGCTCTGAGTCCAGCATAGCATCAGAATTTCCCAAAGAATTACAGTCTTTGTGGTGTAGACTGCCTTTCAAGTTTATTTAGTACCCCAGAACCCTTTAGCCCGTGGTGGTGAGGCTTTCTGGAACTCAGGTTCTGACTGCTGGGATGGGCAAATCCCCTCTTGCTAAGGCTGGTTTAAATGCTCCCTCTGTGGGTGATGGCTGAGTTCTGCCTGATGTTGCTTTCTGCCATGATGATGCAGCACTATTTTCTAATGTAAAAGATTCCATAATCACTGAAGTCTTCCTCCCACAGGACAGAGATTTTATCTCCATGCCACTTGGCCACTGCCAGGGTATGGGGGAGGTGTGGTGTCAGCAACTCCAGACTGTCTTTTCTGCCTTCTTCAGTGCCTCTTTCAGCGATATGAAGTTAAAGCCTGGTATTGTGATTACTCACTTGATTTTTGGTTCTTATGAAGTTGCCTTTTTGTGTGAATACTTCTTCAGTTAGGTGTTCCTGCAGGGTTAATGATCGGAGGCTTCTATTCAGCCATCTTGTACTGCCTCCTTCCAAATTATTCTGCTTGAACTTTACAAATGTAATTTTACACTCTACCCATTTGTCAGGATTTTCTGTAGCCCCCAAATTTGCCTCATCTCACCACTATTGTGAATATCATAGCAGCTATCAGTAATAAACATCAGTGTTGAATTATATATAGCACTTTTGGAAAGAATTTTTGGGGTAGCAAAGATCCTCTTTCTTCATTGGATTTCTATGTAAACATTCTGTATATTCTGTGTAACCTGTTATATAACCATTACCAGCTTGGGAAAGAGAAGGCGAAAGGAAAACTTGCTGCTGAGTTTCTGTGGGTGAGAATAGATCTGCTTATTCAAATGGTCAGCAAACAAATTAGTGACTTCTTGCCAATATGAAGAAAATGACAGCACTCAAGAGATGATGATTCTTTTTTTTTTTTAAATTTTATTTTTATTGAGCAGCACTTCATTCTGTAAAATAGAATTAGTATTCCCTATTCCTTGGTATTTTTAGGAAACTACCAATTATTTGATTTATTTTGTACCTGACTTACATGATATGATAGTTTTTATGGCTGTACCAGTTTCATTTGTTGATTGCTGAAATGTCTTCATTTTCTAGTTTTATGTCTGCTAAGATGTTCTGTCAGAGTACTACATACAGTTTGAGTATCTTTTATCCAAAAGGCTTAGGACCAGAGTATTTCAGATTTTGGATTTTTTTTTCAGATATTGGAATATTTGCAAATATGTATCAATGATAATGACATTTGGAAAATATGGTTTAGTGTTATTCAAGTGCAAAGCTTGAGGATAGCCACCTGGGAAACACAGTCTCCAATAGAATGAGTGAGCATTCCAAAGTGGGGAAGTTAAGTTTTCACTTATATAGGCAGAAACAGAAGTTAACAGGGTTGCAACATTTTCCATACAAGGTCATTACGTAGTTTGTAAGGATTTGATTGATTACAGCTTGCTGCATTCCAAGGAAGATTGCTTCGACATTTTGCAAGGAAGGGCAGTGTTCTAAAGGGGTCTGATCTTTGGTGGTATTCCATCTTTCCTAATCATTTTTAGGACAATAATGAAGACATTTAATCTATAATCAAAAAAGCAGAAGTTGCAGCTGCATGCTATGTGGCTCAGGCCACATAATCCCATTCCTCTCAAGCCTTAATAAATATAAAGTTCCAAAAGCTTTAGGTTTGGATTATTTAGTTTCACATATACACTAAGATCTCTTGGGACTGGGACCCAGTTCTAAACATGAAATTCATTTATGTTTCATATACACCTTTTACACATAGCCTGAAGGTAATTTTATACAGTATTTTAAATAATTTTGTATATAAAACAAAGTTTGTATTAAGTACTTGCATGTGGAAATTTTTACCTGTGGTGTCACGTTGGTGCTTCAAAATTTGTGGCTATTGGAGCATTTCAGATTTTGGATTTTTGGATTAGGGATTGCTCAACTTGTACTTTAGGTTTTGAGGGCCATAAGGACTCTGTAGCTACTAGTCAACTGTCTCATGTAGTACAAATGCATCCAAACATAATATGTAAACAAATGGGCATGGGCATGCTGTGCTCTAACAAACTTTATTTGTAAGAACTGTTAGCTAACTCCTGATCTAGCTGATAGACTGACTGACTTCCATATGGAATAGTAGTGTAAGCTCCTTTTGTCAGTAATTATTTCCTCCATAGTGTTTCTAAAAGTCATGGTACTAAAATTATTATATTTCTTTTTAAATGATAATTAAAAGGATTAAAAGGTCCATGCATTCTTTTTTCTTTTTTTTGGTTAACATGCTATGTGCTATTGAAAAGGCAAACCTACCTTCTTACTATCCTTTAGGCAATCCAGTCACACTCCTGCTGCAGGGCCTTTGCACTTACTGATGCAGATACAAACCAGAACATAAGACATTCTGCCTCTTTGTCTAGATTTATGCTAAGATAACAGTTTTATCAGTGACATCTTCACCACCCTAAATACGTAGCAACCCAGCTTCACATGAATACTTGTCCTACACCTGGTTCTATCTTAAATCCTCTACTTTCTCCCCACCCCAAGGTACTTAGTATCATCTATCATAGTATATGTTTTTTATTTAGTTACTCATATTCTGTCTCCATCCACTTGACTAATAGATATGAGGATAGAGATTTGTTTGCTTTCATCTGCTTTATCCCCAGTAATTAAAATATTAATGGTTCCTGGCATATAACAGTCAACAAACGTTGTTGAAAAAAAATGAATGGATGAATGAATGAGTTGAAGTCTTATCTATATCGTTAATTAATGCTCTGATGTTTTTAAAATAAATAAATGCACATTTAAATTTCAGGAACGGAAAACAGTTCTTCCTTCAAAGCCTGCAGTACCTGAAGTAATAGAAGACTTTCTCTGCAATTTCTTGATCAAAATGGGAATGACCAGAACTCTTGATTGCTTTCAGTCTGAATGGTAAACAATTATGTAGATAAATAGTTCTCTTAAAATTCTAACATTTAACTTGTACACTTTTAAGTGTCTTGACTTTGAAATGACTCAGCCTATGAAAAATGACTAGAAACTTTTCCCATCTCCAGCCCTGAAACCACAACACACACACACACACACACACACACACCCCCCCAGAATAGCAATTGCAAAGAAATTTTTATTAAACATCTTTCCCAAATATTTAAGTTTAAGTAATTTTCAAAAAATCAAGAAACTTGAATATCTCCTGGAGTTATAAAACACAAAGATACTTTATGAAAACATTTCCTAGTATTTTTGAATAATTATTGAGAGTATTTCCTGTATTTAGACATTATGCTAAACAGTACTGCTTTACTTGCTTGTTTTATTTATAGTGTAATGGCTTGTCTTTTTCTACTCACATAGCTGATTAATTATATTTCTATGAATATTCTTCATTTAGAAGTAAGTGGAATTGTGTTTTGAATATCACTTAAACACAAGATTTTCTTGTTATAATTGAAAATTTTAATAACTAGTTATGAAAATCAGCAGGTGTACCCTTTGTACCTTTATTCCTTTGTACAATAATAATGTCACCAGGCATATTTTCCATTTCCTGACATTGTTTAAATAAATTTATTAAATGATTAGATACGAAAATATATTTGAACTTTAATAGCTATTGCATATTCTAGAAAAGGGGATTAATATATCTAAAGATGTTTATAATTAGGACTAATTCCTAATTTTAAATAAATTTGCAATGTATGGATAATTTGCAATTTTTAGTCATCTAGCTGTGGTATAAATTTTTATTGTTTGCTTTTTTTGGTTCTCATCTTCTGATAACATTCTCGTAAGAGCAATCAGTTTCATTATTTTAAATTGCACATCTAACATTAATAAATTTTATGAGAATTATTTTTCATTAATAGTCTAAGAAAAACAAAGTTCAGTGGAAGAAAAATAATGCTGCTTCTCTTAAATTTAGAAATTGTGTGAATTATTTTAAATAATTTTTAATAAAAATATCCCTAAGAAATATAATTACAAATGTTCTAGAAAATGTATTTTTTGTAAAAGTAGGTAGATGATTAATTTACAGTGCTAATAAAGTGAAAGATTAATATGATTCATTTAACTTTCTGTCTTCCAACAATGTGTGTTAGGACATGTGATGCTTATATGTTGGGCCAGTCCAAAGTGTAAAATGATTGTCTTAGAATAGTGTGGATCCAAATATACTGTTAACAATCTGGTGACTATTGTCATATTTTCCTGTTAGATTTAGCAATTTGAATTCATGAGATGAAACTTCAGGAAACTAAGATTAGTGTTAGTATTAGGATTTAAAGTCTTCCCAAGCTAGGCATACTAGTCATAAGATAAAATTGGTATAACGTATCTCTTTATGAGTTTAGAATATTGTGGTTCAGGTAATTTTATCCTTATCCCTAGCTGCCAGTTTGCAATGAGATTACATTGTATTGAATACCTTATTTCATATGAAACATTTTTTATTTTGATTAGAAAACTTTACCTATTCTACATAGTAAAATTATAGGAAAATTAAATGTATTATTTTTTATCATTTTTACCACAGGAGAAAACACTTAGAATATATAATTGCTATGAATTCACTTAATCTTTCAAAACATGACCAAACAGAGATTTTCCTTTGTTAGTTTGTTAAAATAAGCAAACAAACAAAACACTGGGCAGTAAAATTTGACATAGGTTCTTTCACTCCTCAAGCGGAAAATGCAATGAATCCTTTAAATCCAGGGTTAGAAAACTAAGATCCTTGGGCCAAATCTGGCCTGCCTCCTGATTTTTAAAATAAAATCTTATTGAAACACAGACATGACCTTTCTTTAGGTATCGTATATGGCTACTTTCACTCTGTAAAAGCAAAGTTAATTAGTCACAACAGGGGTGATGTGGCCTGTAAAGATAGTTTTGCAAATTCTAAAATATTTATTCTCTGACCCTTTACAGAAAAGAGTTGCCAGAATGTAGTAGGAATTTGTTCTATGAACCACGAAAAATTTCCATTGCGGGTTTAGTCAATACTTCAATTCTATTTGTATGCCTATTTTAGAATTATCAATGGACAACAATAATTTCTCAGGGGGGAGAAATTAAAGAAGAAATTAAAATGGAGAAAATATGGTAATCTAATTCCAGTACCTGTACCTGAGCATATGTCATCCATCTGTCTTCCTACACTGACTGTTCCCCTATTAACATTGTCAGAACTACTCACCCTAAAGATACATTCCTACTCTTTTTTTGCCTTTCACTACCACTTCTTTTTAAACCGTTTTTCCCTTTCCAGTCAATGTTTTGAAAACAAAGTTTAAATTTTTTTTCTTTCTTGACCTTTTTACTTCCTATTCAACACTTGGTTCTTTCCAGTTTGGCCTGTTCGCACCATTTCACTGAAGGTAGGGTGGTAATGAAAATGCTATCAAAAGTAATAGTACAATTATTTATGACACTTAATTACTAATTTAATTTTTTGTAATAATGGAAGAGTTTGCAAATTAAGAGTATATTTCATTAATTTGCATGAAATATATTTTACAGCTTTTAGACAATAAAATTCGTCATAACATTTAATCACTTAAATGTGAGCAGTACAGTTACAACTTTCTGGGGATGGTTAAGTTTTAAAGCCAGAGCCTAGAATTAAAATTACCCTTGATATAGCCCTTATGTTGCCCAAGTATGTACAGGAAATATGTGTGGTGTTGTGTATACATTAATGACTCCCAGTGAACACTACGCAAATATTTGTTCCTTTGTAATTTAATCTTATTGCTGTTTCTTCAATTGGTGAGGTCTTGGCTTCTAGTTATATGTCCCATCAGAATATTTTTCCCCAGTCATTATTAAGTTAAACACAGGAATGTAGTGACTCTTCTACATAACATAAAAGTTAGCAAAAGCTAATTTTTGCTGTGTTAAATTATGATAAATTTGACCACTGTAAATACATCTGCACAGATTTATGTACTATGATATTAAGGCAACCTTTTAGGTGAGTATTTAATTAAAATTTTTAAAACAAAATATCATGTTTATTAAATATGAGGGATTTAAAAATATTTAAGAGGGTGAAGGCTTAGGCTTATTACTCAGAAATGTACTTTGTATCATTTTTATTGATATAGTATATTCTCATGCATTATTTCATTTACTTCTCCCAACAACTGTATCGAGCAGGTAGCCACAGCCGTATTTCTATTTTAGGGATGAGGAAAGGGGATAGGGAGATTAGGAAGTCTCCTCAGTGAGTGTCACCAAGTCATAGCCAGTAAGTGGCAGAGTCAACCTAGGAACATACTGATCTTAAAGACCAGTCTCCTAACCACAAGGCTATATTGTGCAATTATACAAGAGAATCTTGGAAAAAATTAATAAAGGTGCCTTTTGGTTTGGCTGGATACTAAAACGACTTAAGAAAATACTAATTTAGAATCCAAATTTGTGCCTATTTTCTATATTGGTTTGAAGAATCATGGGGCCAGTAATAAACATTTCAACTGTGCTATATTTTTCCTGAGAGGGACTGTCTGGTTCTAAGTGATAGTCACGACCGTGCTGGGGATTCTAACATCCTCAGTTTGTACAGTAATTAAAATAATTTTGTCTATGTTGGTAATATATTTCCCTAAATCTTTATGAAAACATGGGGGAAAAGTTCTCATTGTAGTCTTCTTATAAGGAGATTATAATCTAGATGACCTTTCCTCTGTCTTTTACCTCCTATGCCTTGGGTGCCACCATGAGGGAAAAATAATCCTTATTCATCTGACACCATTTATATGTTTACTGGAATTCTGTCATAATATTCATCATTTATGGCATTGGGTCTTAAATGCATTTGGTATGTAGACAAAATTTTATGAAATTTCTATGCACTTTCTCCCTGAAATTCATATATATTCTCCATCTCTACATAATTCTAAGTAGTTTATGGATCTCCTGGTAAATATTAAGAGCATTAATGCAATTTTATTAGTGATAATTTATTGGCAATTTCATTGAGAGCAAATTATATTTCAAATCTCTAATAGTTATGGCAGTCTTCTTTCCCACCTGAACACTTTTCAGTCTTACTTTAAGAGTGAGTGAAAAAGAAGAAAGAAATAAAAAGTCAGGATATTTCTTAAAACAAAAGAACAGATACATGCAAACTGAAGCAAACCACAAAAATATTATGTATGAGAATTCAGATTTTATTGAGAAGTATACTTTTGTAGTTTGTGCATTAAGATTCCTAATTACTTGTATTATTATCTAAAAATGAGCCTAAAGTCATCTTTCATATTTTTATATGGATGGCAGAAAATTTACCTGATAATTTTTGAATATTCTGAGATATATACTATGTAATAAATGTTGTATTTGGATTTGTGCTTCTTTTATCACATATTATTTTATTTATAGTGTTTAATTTAGAGGAAAAACTATTAAATCACTTTTTTCCTCATAGAAAATTTCTCTAGTGGTTTTCCCACATTAAATAAAGCAAGGTGCTGAAAATCAATTTTATGGTCAGAAAAAGCTTATGGTCTAATACTTCAATCAATCCCTATGTCTTCTCTTCTGAGATAAGTATAAATCATATTCCTAGTACAGATGACGTACTGAATTTGTGATTCAATTGATACTTATTTCCTGTTTTATAAATTGTGGCAAATATGATGGAATATTGATTCAATTATCTTAATCTTCAGGATATTCTATGGGGGGGTCCTCTTGCACTTTTTTTTAGAAAAAATCGTACATCACACAAAATATGTGACTTTATAAATATGTAACATTATTAAATTATGATTTATAATATGAAACTACTGATAATTTATAATTTTTAGCTCTAGTATTTAGCTCATCTAGAGCAAGCTTTGTAGGGATTTATTAATAACTTTATTACTTGAAATATTTTTCTATGTTCAAATTGTTTTTTTTTAACTTTATTGATTTCCATACACAGTGATTAAAGTTGTAATTATTTACAATCTACAATTGATTCTCTGATGTTGCTTCTTATTTCACTGAGAAAATACAAGTTCTACCTCTCCCACCTCCCTCTTTACCACCCCGCTGCCTCTGGCCTCCAGTGTTCTCTTCTCTTGCAGACTCTAATGTTACCTGAAGCCAGCTCTCATCTTGTCTGCTTGATACCAGCCCCTCTCACTGACTTAAGGATACTACTCTTGTAATCATCCCTCTTTTACCTCTATTGTCAGTTTTTTCCCTCTTTGCTGGGTCATTCCCATAAGCATACAGATGTACAATAATATCTCACATTTTAAAAAAGGAAGAGAAGAACCACCCTAGATTTCGTATCTTCTTCTAAGTTCATCTTGATTCCCTATGCTCTGCTTTAGAGCATATCTCCTTGAAAAAAGTTTGTTGCCACTTCCTCATTTCCTAGTCTCTCAGTCATCCTCTCAGTTTGTCTTTTGTCCCCATGACTCTATTGAAAACTTCCTTTTTTTTTTCAATAGTGACGTTCACAGTGCCAACTTCAGTGATTGATTCTCAGTATTCTTTTCAGACTCCTGGCAGCATTGGTCACTGTCGTTCATTTCTTCCTTTTTAGAACACTTTCTTCATTTGCCCCCGGGCACAACTCTGAGATTCTCCCTCTATTTCACAGGCCTCTCTTGCTTAGTCTTTTTTGGTAGTGTTTTCTTTTCCCCTCAACTTGGAAGCAGTGAAGTGTTTATGGCTCACTCCTAGGACCTCTTCATTTCTTTCTTTACTTTCATTTTTCACTGCCTAGCTGGTCTCTTTCAGTCTCATGACTTTAAATAGTATCTGTAATGTTGATTACCAAATTGCCCACCCTTTTTTCCGGAACTCTGAATGTGTATACTCAATGTTTATTTTCACTTAAATGTCTGCTAGGCATGTTACATTTAACACGAATGGAACAATCCCTTAATTACTCCAACCACTCTGCTCCTCCTGCATTTGTCCCTACTTAGTAAATAAATGGCTATCTGTTGCTCAGCCTAAAACCCTGGAGTCACACTTGCCTTCTCTCATTTACCAACACCTGACAGTTGATCCATCAGATAGTCCTGCTAGCCCCACCTTGACAGCATTTCTAGAAGGTACTTAACTTCTCATAATCTCCAGTGCTACCAACTTTCTTCAAGCCACGATGCTCTCTCCTTGACTATTGCAATAGCCTGCTAACTGATCTCTCTGATTCTATGCTTGCTAGACTAATCCCTTTAAAACATAAATCTGGTCAGTGTCACTTGTCTCAAAACCTTCCTATGGTTTACTTCTGATTCAGAGTAAAATTGCTTTCCTCACCATGGCTCCCTGATGTTTTCCTGACTCATCTTTCACCACTCTGTCTTTGGTCACTTAGTTGGCTTCAGTTCCAGGCACTCCAGGTACCCCGGCTGTTTGTTGTTTCTTGTAGTTGCCAAGCACTTCCTTGGTTCAGGGCCATTGCATTTACTTTTCCATCTGGCCTAGCTGCTTCTCTCCCAACTATCCACATAATACAGTCCCTCATTTCCTTTAGATCTCTGTTCAGGTATCACTTTGTCAGTCATATTTGTCATTCATGCCCACCCTATGTAAAACAGCACAAGCACCGCCATCAATGTTTCCACCTCACTCTTCCTGTATCTTTTCACCATCTTATTTAACTTCATAGAACTCATCACCCTCACCACTAGAATGGAAACTCCATGAAATAGGGACTTAGACATTTTTGTCAATTTTACTGTTGTCTAGACCAGTGCCTGGAACATAGGAGATGTTCTGTTATTATATTTTATATACCATGATGGCATTGGTACCTAGAAGTCATATTTTATTCTAAAATATATCATGAATGTTGGACATTTTAACTTATAAATGTAACACTGCAAGTAATTACTATAATACTCCCTGAGACTTAACTTTTTGAATTGTACATAAATTAAGCCAATTTGGCAGAAAGAAATGACATAAACCCTTTTGTTTGATTTTATCCTAGGTATGAGTTAATACAGAAAGGAGTGACTGAACTTAGAACTGTTGGGAATGTTCCAGATGTCTACACCCAGCTTATGCTTTTGGAAAATGAGAACAAAAATTTAAAGAAAGATTTGAAGCACTACAAACAAGCAGCTGAGTATGTTACTTTTTAAATGACATTTTCTTATTTTTCTTTTGGACTAAATAAAAAGAGTTGAATGAAGTTGATTATATGTAATGTACCAGAGCCTTAATTTTGGAAAACTGGATTTTTCTAGTTGTAAAAAATGTAAGAGGCTTCACTACCAAATTAATTAAACAGATGATCAGAACTATCATAATTGTAACTTACCAACAAGAAGGGAATGCAGGGAGTTGTTTAGGAGATGGTACATTTGTTATATAACATTCACTTCCTTATGTATTTGATAGTCTTTTCATGGTTCATAACATTTTCTCCTGTAAAGAGACTAATTTCTGAAATAATAATTAAATTTATAGAAAGCTGAGAGGAAAATGCTAGTTTATTCCTAGTAGAGGAGTTTCAGTATTTGAAAATTCTCCAGAAGGAATAATATAAACTGTGGACTTTGAGTGACAATGATATGTAGGTTCATCAGTTGTTAACAAATGTACCTGTCTGTTGTGGGCTGTTGATAATGGGGAAGGCTGTGCATGTGTGGGAGTAAGAGGTGTATGGGACATCTCTGTATCTTCTAATCAATTTTGCTATGAACTTAAAACTGCTCTAAAAATAAAGTTTATTAAAAAAATAAAGAGAATTATCTATACTGTTTTCCATACAGGTTGAACTAATTTACATTCCCACCAACCATGTATGAGTGTTCTCTTTTCTCCACATTCTCACCAACATCTGTTATTTTTGAGTTTTTAATAATAGCTGTTCTGGCTGGTGAAAGATGCTATCTCATTGTGGTTTTGACCTCAGTCCAGCAATTCCACTACTGGGTATCTACCCAGTTGTATAAAAATTCCACCCACACTCTTACATTTATTGCAGCACTATTGATAGTAACAAAGTCATGGAATCAACCTAAGTGTCCATCAGCAGATGATGGGATAAAAAATGTGGCATTTATATACAATGGAATACTATTCTGCCATAAAAATGAATGAAATCAGGCCTTTTGCAGCAACATGGATGGAACTCGAGGCCATCACTCTTAGTGAGATGACTTAGAAACAGAAAGTCAAAAACCACATATTCTCACTTATAAGTAGGAGCTAAGCAATGAGTACATATGGACATACAGAATGGAATAATAGATACTGGAAACTCTAAAAGGTGGGAGAGATGGAGGAAAGTAAGGGATGGGTAAAATATCCACTACTTGGGTGATTGGTACACCAGATGCCCAGATTCATCACTATGCAATATATCCATGTAAAACAACTGCACTTTTACCCTTAAGTCTATAAAAATAAAAATATTTTTAAAAGAAAACATAAACTATCCATAATTTCACCACCCAGGGCCAGCCACTTACCGTTTTGTTGAATAGCAGCCTTGACTTTCCTCCATGCATATATATTAATGCATATTTATGAGTAACTTTTAAATATAAACTGCACTAATACCATATTTTGTAAGTTCCTTTTTCATTCAAGAGTACATGATTAATATATTTTATGAAAATAAATTTTATTCTAACTTAGAATTACTGAAAGGAAACCTTTGTTTAGTAATTTCCTGGCATAAATTTATTCATAGAAGAGAAGCCAAATCTCTCCACACCTTTCTTTCTACAATTGATGGAAGGCATGCAATTCCTGGTGAACAATTTTAGGTAAACAGCCAGTGTTATTCTGACAAAGAATATGTGAATGCATTAATTTGGGGTGAATCTGCTCATCTGAGGCAATGTTATATGGAAAAATAAATGCCCAGATGTGAAGCAGAGTTCATATTTTATTTATTAATTCATTTTTATTAAATATAGTTAAAAAGAGGGCCTTTCTCACTTAAAGGGGCATATTAAAACCAAAATTAGATTATTAGAATTACCATATAGGAACATAATAAGATTTTTGATAAGTTTAAAGAAACATGACTTTTCATTAAGAAGCAGAGAAAACATTTAAAATAAGCTCTTACTTGTGAACGATGGCAGTAAACAATTTGTATGATATCATTTATTCAAGTATTGTCCGTACTTGTAGAAATGTTTTTGCAAGGTATATAAATTTTGTATTATCTATGGATGTAATGTACCATTTAGAATTTTATATTTTACATTAGAAGTGTATGATGATTCTGAAGAATATATTACTAGAACCAGTGTTCTCTCTATTCTTTGTTCCATTTCTCAACAGTGTTTTGTACTATTTGCCCTGATGCTCACTATGATTTTGTATATTCATCTAATGGATTCACTGGGAATTTGATACAGCGTATTTCTCACAGTGCTGCCTGACATACTTTCAGTTCCTGATCTCCTTTGAATTATTGCTTGAGTTTGCTAATTTTCTGTTAAATAGATCAAAGCAGCCTCTTTATGCCATAAGTTTAGCTCCAGTGACATTGAATAGTCATTTTTAAGTACTGGTCGTTTATTGAATATTATGTTTAATAGCAATAATATAAAAAAACATATTACTCATGCAGATTATTAACTTAATGTTAAAAGAAACCAGGATTAAAATGCATCACTCAAATAAAACATCTTGGCTCACTAAAATATCAGATTATTGTTTTAATTTTAACAGTTCGTGACTGTTTCTCAAATCTATCTCATTCAATAGAACTTAAAATCGAAAAAGTTAGACAAGGAACATTTGTGTTTGCTTTACTCTACTTGACATGGAAGATTTGAAAGGAAGCTGCCTGATCCTTAGATGCTTAATCTTTATTTTACTGAGTGGATATTAAGCATGGTGTGCTTTCACAGCACATTTTAGTAAAATGCTTCCTTATAACCTGGTTCTACTGATACATTCTTAGAAAATGGAGAATGAAGTTTTGTTCCGTTTTGTCAGTAGTTTTTTTGTTGTACTTAATAATTGTACATACATTTATACATATGATAATTGTACATGTGATATTTTGATACATATGTATCAAATACATTTGTACATATGATAATTGTACATGTGTTATTTTGGTTACATATAATGTGTAGTAATCAAATCAAGAGTATTTAGGATATCGATCACCTCAAACATGATTTTTTTGTGTGTGTTGGGAACATTTTAAATCTAACTATTTTAAAATAGATGATAAATTATTGTTAACTGTAGTCACCCTACTGTGATATTGAACACTAGAACTTAACCCTTCTATCTGTTTGTATCCATTAACCAATTTCTCTTTATCTCCCCTTTCCACCCTACATCCCCCGCATACTTCCCAGCCTCTGATAATTATCATTCTCCCTGCTACCTCCATGAGATCAACTATTTTAGCTCCCATGTGAGTAAGGACATGCAATATTTGTCTTTCTGTGCCTGGCTTATTTCACTTAACATAATGATCTCCAGTTCCATATATGTTCCTGCAAATTATAGGGTTTCATTCTGTTTTTAAAAAATGGTTTAATAACATTCCATTGTGTATATGTGCCACATTTGATTTATTTATTCTTCTGTTGATGGATACTTAGGTTGATTCCACATTCTTGGCTATTGTGAATAGTGCTGCAATAAAGTTTTGAAAAAAGTTTTCCAAACTACGTCTGTCATGCTACCAGCCTGCTCCAAATGGTAGTGTTTAATCATCTAGGTTTTTCAATTTGACTTCTGAGGATAATTTTCAAATAGCAAGTAGTGACAAACATGAGATTCCCTTTATTGAACTTGAGCTAATGTTTATATTTTTAGGATTAGGATATTTCTTAAGGCAAAATAATTGTAGATATAAAATACTTTTCTAATAATAATTTTTAATACACAAAAAAGTCAGGTTGCAGATATATATTATTCTTGATTATACTAATAGCATTTAGTGATGTATCTCTAGAAAAATCAAATAAATGATACAGCTATAAAATTAATACTTATCTGGGGGAAAGTTGCCATGAAAAGAGTACTGATCTTTAAGTTCAAATACCTCGCTTCTAAGACTCTGTTACTTATTAACTCAGTTTGCTGAATTACTCCCAGTTTTCTTATTGTTAACCTGGGAATCATTTTGCATAATGTTGTTAATTTCTATGGAATAATGTGATAATTAAATGAGACAAGCTATGTTAAAGAGCTTTGTAAATCACAAAGTGCTTTGAAATGTCAGCTATTATCAATAACTCTAAACGCTGTCATCTCTGGGTTTTTATTAATCACATCATTAGTATTTTTTAAATTCAGCAATGATGAAGCATGAAGAAAGAAATGAAAGGAGAAAATATTTCACACTAAACTATCATTTGAATTGCCGTAATTAAAGCAGGCAATTGTCATTTTCTCTGTTGTCAACATTACCAATTTTTGACTACAGGTTTTCTCTGTGCCATCTATAAATATAGATTGTCTATCTTCCAAAATATAAAGTTGGGAAATAATTATTGAGAACATTTCTGTATAGATGTTTTTATGGAGAAAATGATCTTATTAAAAGTTTATAGTTCCATTGGAAGTACAAGTATTTCCCATACTGGATATTGAGAAAGAATGTTTTTCTCAGAAAAGGAGAACATAAATTTTCTATCGAAATGTAGACCTATTGTTATTTTAAATGCAGAAATCTAAAGTTGCATTTAAAGCAGGTGACCACAGTTGGAGAGATTTGGTGGTTGAACGAAGATTATAAAACATCACTTAGAATTATGTCTTTCACAGTTTAGACACTATATTCATAAACCTTGTTTTATTTGGTAGTTGTCATGCCAAAAGATTTACTTTGGTCTGAAGTTTATAAATAACTATTATGAGTTTTATTAATTACAACCTTTTTGCTTGATCTTCTTGCCTATTTTAACTAGCATTTTATGTCTTCTTCCCACAGTGTAGGCAATGCAAAAAAAACAAAAACAAAAACAAAAAACTTGTTTGGATGATTGATTCCTAAAATCACCATTATACTTGAACTTGAACATCTTGCAATCTGGCTTCCATTTCACTTTTTCTTAATTGGCCTTGGACACCAGAGAACTGTTTGACACCCAAATTTAGCAGTCTTTTTTTTTCTATTTGTATATTCTGTTT